ATCGCTCCCTTGCTAATAAAGTTTTCTATTATAGCGTCACCAACATTTAATTTCATCGTAGAAGCTGTGTAGATCTTTCCAGCTCATAGTCCCAGTTCGACCCGTCGCAAAAGTCCACGCCTTATGTGAATACATGTAATATAACTTGTTATGCCGTTGGGAACCGATGATTCTTTGAATTCACCTCAATCCAACTGTAGCATTAAACGTCTGTAGATTGAGCTCATTCTCGGATCTGACTAAACCCCCAGCCTTCAATCGTTCTCCTCGCCAGACACAAAGTCATGTCGACCCTCACGTTTCCGATCCTGTGGAAGGATGCCCATGAGCGGGGCATCAAGGGAGTCATCGAGCTCAGCATGTCCGATTTGCCGCTGAAAGGCGCTCGAGTTCGAGACTTGTTCCCGGTACTGAATACGAAGATCAACGCCAAGTTCCCGTTCGAGCGAAATAGTCGCGAAGTGGAGACTTTTCTACTTTATGGAACCCGTGTGAGTCGTGATCGTTCACTGAAAGCACTCATTCCCGAGCTGCGTAGTTGTCCACGATTTGTAGTGAGCATGAGACTCTACCCAAACTGGGCGCCCAGAAGCAGCATTAGGATCTTTATTAAAACGCTCACAGACAGAATTATTCTAATTAACTGCGAGACCACCGATACGGTTGTCTGTCTCAAGTCCAGAATTCGAGACAAGGAAGGCATTGCACCTGATGTCCAGAGTCTTGTCTTCGCAGGCAAAGAGCTCGAAAACCATCTTTCGCTGCGTACTTACGGTATCAAAAACCTGAGCCAAGTGCATCTGGTGCGGCTGATGCGTGGTGGTGGAGGTCCACCACGGATGTTTGCCGATGTTTCGGACGATTGGTGGTCCGCGAGTTTTCACCCGACGCTCCGGAGTGGCGTATTGTCCGCAGAGGACTGAACATCGAGGGGAGATGCAAGAATGTGGAGTGTGCTGCATATCAACACATGGTTATCCACCCCAAGCAGTATGAAGCATTTAATCTCATGCGAGATGACGACATTCGATGTCCCATCTGTCACTCAAAGGTGAAGCCTCGAACTTGTGGGTTTTACGATTGTGTCTGGAAATTTGACGGAACACAAGAACAAAACGGGTTTTCAATTATTTCGCAGTGGAAGGAAGCTTTTGGTCGGAAGTACTATCGCTTCAATGCTGGCAAAACGTTCGGCTCTGTGGAATGGGAGAGTTTGATGATTGTAGCCAGACGGCGAGATGAGTCGACTGAGGTGATGCTATCACCATCCGCCCAAGCTACTGGAATAAGCAGAAGCGACAAGTGCTCGATCTGCTGGTCCAAGTTCGGTTTGACAGCATCAGGCTTCGTTGTTACGATTGGCTGTGGACATAACTTCCACTGTTCTTGCATTGACAAATGGTCGGGGTGGTGCGAGAACAATGGTACTCTACCAAGCTGTCCTGTGTGTCGCAGAGAAGTACAGACGCCTGCTTATGCTTGAACAGCATAAATTATGTATGGCTACGTGGCTGACGATGCCGTCACACCCGAGTTATTTGATTATCTTTTTTATTTAAGGATGGTAGCAATAAATCACAGCGGCTTGTACGGGGTGATAAACGAAATGCAACCTCGATTTCATTTGTCATTAAGGGTAGACACAGCCCATTCACATTAGCTCCATGAGGTTGTCTTGCACTTCTGACGGTCCATTGCAATATTCCAGGATTCCAAAGCCTCCCATCACTAACGCTGATCCAACAACACACTGCCACGAGAACGTTGTGTGATGAAGCAAGGCGTCTATTACCCCAGAAAGCGGAATCGTCATCATCACCCCCACACTGGTTTCCAGGGGTGACGTCCAGCATAGCGACAGCGGCAAGAGCACATTGAACACGACCGCCATTATTCCGCTCAACAGCAGCAACAAGACGCCACTAACGGTAACCGGGAAGCCCATTGGTTCCTGTAGCGGTGAATACGGACTGTACGCCAGTACAAAACTTCCAACAATCCACAACGGGACGGTAAACAGTCCAGTCAATCCAGTCATCGTTAACAATGTCGACGTGTCGGTAATAACTTCCCTACTTAGGCGCAATGCAACCTCGTATCCGCCGTATAGCGCAGCCGATATCACCACCAGCAAGCCCGCCACTAGACTAGTATTAGCGATCGCTTCAGCATCACGTCCTTCTTGAAACATGACGACCATCGTGACTCCCACAAATGACGTGAGCACTCCACAAATCTTGCAAAACGATGGTCGTTTATGCAGGAAACAACCGAAAAGCAATAGACAAACACGCGGCGAACAGTTGAAGATAGCCGTCCCAATCTGCAACACTGACATTGGTCAATGCAGCGTACCAAAAGTA